TAGATTTTTTAATTAATTTGAATACTTTAGAAGTCTCAAAACTGTATAGCTTGCCTGATATTTAAATAGTGAATAAGTTTATAAAACATTAAAACAACTGAATAGTAAGAATGCTCAAAGTCCAGTTTTAAGTTGGAAAAGTTCAAAACAGATTTGAAGCTACCAGGCACTGTTAATTTCATTTTTCCTTTTTCTGTGTCTGAATCAGGATCAAGCACTTCATCTGGGACCACTATTCTGACAATGTGAGAACTTGTGGGGTTCATCACATATGTATATATAATCATTTTCAGGAAAACCTACACATGTTTGTAAAATAGTTATGTATATTTATTTAGTAGACACTTTTCACTAAGGTGATTTTGTTCATCTGACAGGATTAGGAAAAGAACATCATTGAAATCCCTAGTCACATGCCTTTTTGTCACACTCTATCAAGGGCACATGCTATTAGAACCCTACTCTTGTGCTTTTGAGTGAGGTAGTGTGTGCCAGGTTTCTGCACTCCTATCATCTGTGTCTCCCCTTACTTTATTTCTTTAGAAATTATGAGAGGATATGTGCAAAAGGAGAAACTCCAATGGCATTTCCGTGTGTTATTGGTACTTCTCTTACTTTAGAGGTGGATTGTTGTCTGTAATTATTTGATCCATCTTTTTTTTACTTCAAAATGGATTATGAAAATTCCTTTTGTAGATGATGTTAAAATTTCAGTAGCACATTTTGCAGATTCTTGGTCAAAACTGAAATCATTGGAAATCATAGCCTCTTGATGTGAGTTTGATGCTAGGCAACAACCTTGCTTAAAAGATTTACCCTACTCAGTTCAGTACCCCATTTTTAATTGGGTTAATTAGAATTCTAATTTCTAGTTTCTTGAGTTCTCTATATATTTTGGAGATCAGACCTTTGTCTGATGCGGGGTAGGTAAAGATCTTCACCCACTCAATAGGATGCCTTTTTGTCTTAATAACAGTGTCCTTTGCTTTACAGAAGCTTCTCAGTGTCAGGAGGTCCCATTTATTCAATGTTGCTCTTATTGTCTGTGCTACTGGACTTATATGTAGGAAGTGGTCTCCTGTGACCGTATGTTGCAGTGTTGCTGTCTACTTCCCATTATCTCTTCTATCAGGTTTAGTGTGGTCAGATTTATATTGAGGTCTATAATCCATTTGGACTTGAGCTTTGTGCATGGTGATGAACTGAACAGAAAATTCTCAACAGAAGAAGTTCAAATGGTCAAAAATCAGTTAAGGTCATGTTCAACTTCCTTAGTGATTAAGGAAATGCAAATCAAAACAACTTTGAGATACCATCTTACACCTGTCAGAATGGCTAAAACCAAAAACACCAATGATAGTCTATGCTGGAAAGGATGTTGAGTAAAGGGAACACTCATTCATTGTTGGTAGGAATGCAAACTTGTGCAACCACTTTGGAAATCATTGTGGCAGTTTCTCAGAAAACTGGGAATCGTCCTACTTCAGGATCCAGCAATACCACCCCTGGGAATATACCCAAGAGATGCCCTATCATACTACAAATTATTTGTTCAACTATGTTCATAGCAGCATTATTTGTAATAGGCAGAACCTGGAAACAACCTAGGTGTCCCTCAACAGAAGAATAGATAAAGAAAGTGTGGAATATATACACATTAGAGTACTACTCATTGGTAAAAAACAATGACATCTTGAATTTTCCGTTTCCCTGTCTTGAAGTTATCTGAAAGTTTGTGGTTATTCAGAAGTATGTATGGAAATAAAAAACACTATCCTGAGTGAGATAAGCCAGATCCAAAAAGATGAATATGGTATGTACTCACTCATTAGTGGACTCTAGCCATAAACAAAGGACATTTCTAGAGAAGCTAAATCACCAGGTGAAACCAAAGAAAAACATATATAGAGCCTCCTGGAAATTGGAAACAAACACGATTGCCAGCAAAAGTTGGGAGCATGGGGGTGGGAATAGGGTTGTTGGTGGGGTTGGGAGAAGAGGAGAGGGGGAAATGGAAGGGAGAAGAGAAAGACTGGGAGAACTTGGGGACTAGGAGGTGGAGATGGAGGGAGGACGGATATATGAGCAAGGAAGAAGATTTCTACATTAAGGGAGCCATTTTAGTGTTGGCAAGAGACTTGGCTCTAGAGGGGATCCCAGGTGTCCACGGGGTTGTCCCCAGTTAGGTCCTTGGGCAGAAGAGGAGAGGGTACCTGAGCTGTCCTTACCCCACTATCACACTGATGATTATCTTGAATATCACCATAGAATCTTCGTCAGGCGATAGATGGAGATAGAGACAGAGACCCTCATCAGAGCAAGGAATGAGCTCCGAAGGTCCAGTTGAAGAGCAGAAGGAGGGAGAAGATGAGCAAGGAAGTCAGGACGGTGAGGGGTTGGTCCACCCACTGAGGCAGAGTGCCTGTTCTAATGGGAGCTCACCAAATACAGCTGGACTGGGACTAAATGAGCACGTGATCAAACTGGACTCTTGGTGATCTTGTCTATTTCCAATATCCAGGAGGATAAATATATGTTTTTCTTTGGGTTCACCTTCTTATTTAGCTTCTCTAGGATCACGAAATATAGGCTCAATGTCCTTTGTTTATGGCTAGAGTCCACTAATGAGTGAGGACATATGATATTCCTCTTTTTGGCTCTGGGTTATCTCACTCAGTAAAGTGTTTTCTATTTCCATCCATTTGCATGCAAAATTCAAGATGTCATTGTTTTTTACCGCTGAGTAGGACTCTAAAGTGTATATGTGCCACACCTTTTTAAAGTGTATATATGCCACACCTTCTTTATCTATTCTTCTATTGAGGGGCACCTAGGTTGTTTCCAGGTTCTGCCTATTACAAATAATGCTGTTATGAACATAGTTGAACAAATGCTTTTGTGGTATGATTGTGCATCTCTTAGGTATATTCCCAAGAGTGGTATTGCTGGGTCCTGCGGTACGTTGATTCCCAGTTTCCCGAGAAACTGCCACACTGATTTCCAAAGTGGTTGCACAAGTTTGCATTCCCACCAACAATGGATGAGTGTTCTCCTTACTCTCCCTCCTCTCCAGCAAAGGCTACCATTGGTGTTTTTGATTTTAGCCATTCTGACAGGTGTAAGATGGTATCTCAGAGTTGTTTTGATTTGCGTTTCCCTAATTGCTAAGGAGGTTGAGCAAGACCTTAATTGTCTTTTGGCCATTTGAACTTCTTCTGTTGAGAATTTTCTATTCAGTTCAGTGCCCCATTTTTTAATTGGGTTACGGGAGCACAGGGGTGGGAAGGTTTAGGGGAAGAGGAGATGGGGAGACAGAAGGGAGAAGGGGAGGATTGGGGAGAGCTTGGGAAATGGGATGGTTGAGATGGAGGAAGGGTCAATATGGGAGCAGGGAAGAAATTTTAAGTAAGGGAGCCATTTTATGGTTGGCAAGAGACTGGGCTTTAGAGGAGTTCCCAGGTGTCCAGGGGATTTCCCTAGCTATGTCCTTGGGCAGCAGAGGAGAGGGTGATAAAGGCACTGGGACTTGTTTTTACTGCATGTACTGGCTTTTTGGGACCCTAGTCTATTTGGATGCATAGCTTCCTAGACCTGTATGTATGGGGAAGGGCCTTAGATTTCCCATAGGGCAGGATTCTGTGCCCTCTCTCAAGCAGGGAGGTGGAGGGAGGAGGGTGAGTGCGGGAGCTGGTGGGAAATGGGAGGAGGGGAGGAACTGTAAATTTTTGAATGGAAAAAAAGATATTTATTTATTTATTTATTTATCCTCCTAATCATGTTTTTCAATTAGCTATTTAGGCTGTTACTCAGATTGTCTCAAGGTAACATGACAATGACCCCTTATTTATCTTTGTGTGGATCATTCAAGTCACTGGTATGTGTCCTTATCTCAGAATTTTACCAATCTTTTTCGTTTGATTTCCAAGTTTAATCTTTGACTATTGGTGTCACTGCAAGAGTTTCCAGAGAAGCCTCAGTCTCAGTTGAAGACATTCTCTTTTCTTTTTCAAAGCTGCCTCAAGCTGATGATTCATTATCATGGAAAGTAAATTCAACCCTGTTTCTCTGAATGACACTTCTCTAGCTCACACATAAGACAGCAGGCTCTTCATCATCAGCAACAGAGAGTAGATTTAACTCTGGTAGCCTTTGTTAGCAACAGCATCAACAAATCATAAACAAAAAAATCAAAGAACTGAGTTGTCTATGGAAAGCGCTGATGTGAGAAGGGACTAGGAATGGAGCTGATGTCAGCTGAACTGCACAACACATTGGTGCCTGAGAATTTTGTGGGTTGAGGGATCACAAATATGCCTACAGAATAATCATTACTTTGGAATTTTGTATAAACTAATTTTTACCAAGCTGCAAATGTTCAAAAATAGAATTTTTCACAAATGATTACCAAGTGTACTCTTTTAAGTTCTGTTGGTCTAGAAGGAAATAATGAACATTTCAGTTTTAAATCTATGTTTGGAAAGTGAATTTTACAGCGAGGATGCACTTTCTCACATGTTTGAAAACATATAATAAATTAAAATTACTAAATTTCCCAAACTTTCTCACTGAAATTTGAGTCAATAATTATCATAATTTTAGACTCCTTTTGAATTGTCAAGTGGTACATAAACACTCAGAGAGAGAGGGAGAGAGAGAGAGAGAGAGAGAAAGAGAGACTATATAAAATTAGGTTCCATTCTGTCCGATAATCAGAATAAATTGGACAGCTTAAAGTATGTGTGTCAAAAAATTATTCTAATCTGCATACACAGAAAGTTGAATAGAATATGGCAGTGGAGAGTGGCCTTCAGAAGGTATTCTTGGCTAGAAGAGTAATAAGTCACAGGGTCTGAATTTATAACTCATGTTCATTAATCATAGTTCAGAACTTCCTAGCATCTAAAGTCACCCTTACTGCTGGTCCTCAGGAGTCCCTGCTGATCTTCAGCACCCCCTTCTGGTTCTGAGTGTCCTTGCAGTAGGTTTTTGTGCAGGCTCACCTAGAAGTTTCCTCATTGTGTCTTTGGTACAGTAGTACGTGGCTGTGTCCTCACTTTGCAGACTGTTCAATTTTAAGAAAACTTGGTTCTTGGAGGTGTCCCTGCTGATGGTGATTCGGGGCTGGAAAGCTGAATTATACTCTGTGTTTCCATTATACCATATTCCTCCCATCCACTCCAGACCCTTTCCTGGAGACTGGCGAACCCAGCTAATATCATAATCAGTTAATGAGAACCCAGAGACAGTGCAGGTGAGAGACAGGGTCTGTGAGGGTTGCACCAGGCCAGGTCCTGACTCCTTCAGCTGCACCTGGGACAGGACACCTGGAGACAAGCAACATCAACATCTGTTATACACCTCATAGATGGCATGCCAGGGACCCTCTCCTGAAATCCTGAAACACTTACTTGGAAAGGTGACCAGGCAGAGGAGCAGCACCAGGACAGCCATGCTCTGCTAGAGACTGGTGAGAAGTAGATGGGGCTTCTCAGCTGAGCCTGAGCTTTCATCTGGAGCCTGAGGGCTGCTTTGTATTTGGGGAGGTTCCTAAAAACAAAACAAAAGGAAGCCCAGGGGATTATTTCCACTCTTTCCTCCAGTGACCAACATTTGTCCTGTGCTTCTTAGCAGTACTGGAGATGGAAATTCAGGAACATTTTCTTTTTTTTTTAATCTGGATTTCCAATACCAAAAAATTTGAAATAGTGTTAATGACTATGGTCAGACCTGGCAAACAAAATTTGGCAGTGTTTATACTAAGTGTGTCCACAGTCACATAGTGCAGGCAGAACACAGTGCCATGTCCTAAATGTATTCGTCTATCTCTAGAAATTACAGCAGTGGAATTGGACCTTTTTGTTATCAGAAACTCTGACTAAGGAAGCAACTTAAAATTTATTCTCTTGGTGGCAGTGTAATCCTTTTTATGCTCATAACTCACCTATAAATAACTGGCGAGGAAGCAGCTCACTAACGTTTAATACATGTGATTTCACAGGTTTATCTAAGGGAAGATCGGAAAGACATATTTGGTTCCCACCTAACTTGGCTCAACCTATTCACATTCTCATTTAGAAACATTATACCTGAGAATTAGATTTTAATACCTCTTGGTTGATGTCAGTCTATTGTTCTCAATGGATGTTTTTATCTCTCTTTTTAGCATGTATCAGAGAAAATTCCAGGTTCCTAAATATGAATGTTGCATTGGTAAGAGATGTGAAGTTTAGTTGTTCATTACACTTCTTAAAACACAGTAGTATGTAACTAGGTTTGAGAGTTATGTTATCCAAAGTTCCAAAGTAAAAAAATACATCAGAGAAGCTGAATTATGACAAGAAGAGGAGAAGAGGGCAGACACAAACTGGGGAACCTTGTGCTTTGCGGTAAAGACATCGTTACAGAGAACCAGAGTTTGTAGAGCTTTCTTCCATGCCTTCCCACAGGGAAAATGAAGTGCAGAACTTGAGCCAACCTGTCTAATTATCACTCAGGGAATATCTGTCTACTATTTGGTATTTGAGATTATACATTTGGTGTCCCTTATTTCTGTGTGTGAAATTTTAGTACACAGAGTAGCAGTGGTAGAGAGAGGTACTAACCTTCGACTACCTAAAGTCAAGTAAAAATTAGCCTTCCTGGGCAAGCTGTGAGGGTCACTTCCACCATGAGTGCTTTGTTCCCTCTGTGCTTAATGCTTTGAATGTTACAAGAATATTTAGCAGATGTCATCCTCAGTATGTCTCATCTTGGGTTTATCTGATATTTTCATTGTGGCAACAAATTTGGAAACAAGTATAAGAGATCTAAATGCACATCTCTCATACTAGGTTGGGATCTTGGCATGAATCTACTTATTCAAATGTTTTTGAATTTTGTTACTGAAGAGATAGTTTGTGCCTGTGTTCTGTACTTTTTTGCTCCTTGGGATTCCTTTTTCCATGAATCTGTAAAAGGAGGTCACTAAGAAAAATTTATTTTAATGAGAAAGAGTTCATAGTAAAGTTATATATCATTTTTAATTATATATTATATTTGAGAGGTAAATTTTTATTGTTAAGCATTTTGCCAATCATGTTTGCTTATGTCTGGTGGAAATATGAATACTCACTTCATGCCATGTTATCATAACAGTGCCAGATTGTACATATGTGTTTTAGTTAGGATTTTGTCAACAAAATGCAAACAAGGGTTATCAAGGAGAAAGGAACATCAGTTGTAATAAATGTTTCTATCATGTTGTCCTACAAGAATTACAGTGTCATCATTTTCTTGAGTAATAATTGATGTGGGATGGTCCAGGAAGATGTGGATGGTGCCATCCATGGGAAGGTATTCCTGGGTTGTGTGAAAAGCATGGTGACCAACCATGGAGTGTGAGCTAGTAAGTAGAATTTCTTCAAGGTTTCTAATTCAGTTCCCTTGTTCAGATTTCTGCTCGAATTTCATGTACTGGTTTTCCTACATGATGACTGCAAGATTTAAGACGACATAAACAATTTCCTTCCAGTGTTGCTCTTGACATGATGTTGGTCGTATCTAAAGATAAAAAAGTAGGATAATTCCAAAGTCTTATGATGAAATGATGAATATAGGGTCACGGACAGTCTGCAAAACTGCCACAATTGCCACAAGTATAGTCATTTATTCAAACACACACATACTTATACACACACACACACATCATATAATCCACATGCAGAAACACATATACACAGGATGACAGAATGCCTTTCTGTTTGTCTTTCCTTTTCCTTCCTTCTTTCTTCCTTCCTTTTTCCTTCCTTCTTCCTTCCTTCGTTCCTTCGTTCCTTCGTTCCTTCGTTCCTTCGTTCCTTCCTTTCTTCCTTCCTTCCTTCTTTCCTTCCTTCCTTCCCTTCTACAGGGTCACTATGATTAGCCTGCACCCACTCTGTAGCCCAATCTGGTATTGAGATATGAGGGCTATTGTTGTCATTGTTTCCCCAATTTCTGGATTAAAGGTGTGTTCCACCATTCCTGAACATCACATACAGTGGTTTTAAGAAAATAATTTAGAGTGGGAGGTTTCTCTCCCACCTATTATTTTCTAATTACCTTTCTGAGGCTTAAACTTAATTTAATTTTTTGTCGCACTATCTCATGCTTATTATTAATTAGCTCTTACAACTTAAATTAACCCATTTATAATTTTCTATATATTACCTTAAGACTTGTGGGTTGTTATCTCACATCTTGTTTCCCCAGGAGCTGCCGGCATCTTCCTGATTTCACCTTCTTTCCCCCTGTATCTTTCCTGCCTGGCCCTTTTCTGACTATCTATTGGCCAAATCAGCTTCATTATTGACCATTGGTAATAAAATGCATTCACAGCATACAGAAGAGTATGCCACATCATCTCCCTTTTTCTGTTTATTTAAAAAAAGAAGGTTTTAACTTTAACATTGTAAAACCACATATAACTATGGTGTTTTATATTTGTAATGTGACAAATAAATCTTGCTGAAGATCAGACTGCAGATCTATGCCACTAGTTAACCCTAAGCCAAGCAGTGGCGGAATATACTTTTAATTTCAGCACTTTGGAGACAGAGTAGACAGACCTCTGCGAGTTCAAGGCTACCCTGGAGTACATGAGATAGAATCTGCCTAAAACAGAAACAGAGCTCACACAAAGGTGATCCCAGCAATAGAGAAGTGGAGACAGACGTGATATGACTGGGCAGAGAAAGAATATAAGAAAGGAGGAGGCAGGAACTTGGATTGAGTCTGAAGATTTGTAGAGAGCATTCAGTCTGATGACTCATAGAGACAGGATTATCCAGTCTGTTTGGAAATTCATAGAGGTAAGAATTCTCTCTAATGGCTGGCTCCTCATATGTTTTAGAATTAACTCATATCTGACTCTGGGTTTTTATTATTAAGACTAACTAGAATTTGTGATAAATATAACAAAACAGAATTACAGTTACAATATTTAGTCTGTTTGTTTTGGGCACAATTAAATACTATGTCATTTATTCTACCCTTGTGAGTCTAAAGTTTCATATCTAATTTATCTTTTATCATATCTAATGAAAACGATAATTATGACTATTTTTATTTCCATTAAAACCCCAGAAGGATATGATATCTAAGTAAATAGGTTGTCAATTGTTAGTATCTTCCAAAATTCTACAAATGACAAAGATATCTGGCTGCTTAGATAGTTTCTAAAAGTTTTTCTGTAATGTTGGGACATCCATCTTCAGCCTACAGGCCTAGAGAGTCTAGTAACTTTCTCAACGAAACAGAAAACTTGAAACCATCCAACCTATACTCTCAGATTGTCAGTCATTTTTTTCTGTGTCTTCCAGAATATCTGGCAGACTCTTACAGGAACCATGAAGTACTGACCCATCTTATTTTGGCAAGTTTAGCAGTCACTCTTCTTTGGGTCCTGTATGTGTGTTTTATACAGCATAGAGTCAAGCATTTCAGGCAAGTGCAGTTTCTTGCTCAAATGGCTTAGCCTTGCCACACTGAATACAAACTCCATAAGCAGCTTGTTCAATGCCCATCATTCTCATGAACCATCTACCTGAAACATATCTTTGCATATCTAAGAAACCTATCTAATGTGACTATAGGTTTGTCTGTTATAGGTGACTGTTAATTTGTGTTTTGTAACAATACATTACTTCTTAAAGTGAACTATATAAATAATACCTTAAACAACAGTAGAAATATATGTTATATATAGTACATTTATAGAATAAGTATATAATAGTAATATAATAAAATTGATATTAAATTTATATCATTAAGCCAAAATCCATACCAATGCAAAATATTTTGCGATTAGCAGTTGATTTTTGGGATTAAATTAGATTTAATACCCTACCTTTTTATTATTTACTTATTCCTTTTTTACTTTAGAAAGAGATTTAATATGATCATTAATACTTATGACCACGTCCCTTTGAATAAAAATAAATATTCATAGACCATATTTTGAGGATTTGGGCATAATTTTTTTCTATACTACTTCCTGATGATTGGTGACATTGTTAATCTCATGTTGTTCCTGAGAAAATTTAGAATTATGGCTAGATCTTGGCTGTAGTATTCTATGAGGCTGGCTTGCCTCAGCCAGTTGCCTTGAAGCTATTCTGGATGTTGGATCACTTGGGTCATTGCTCCCACTGAGGACTCTTTGAGAGTGATACTAAATCGAACCATTCCAGCCTGGAAGGAATCCACAGTTTCTGATCTTCTATGGAAACAGAAGCAGAACCTCTTTTCCAAAGCAACATCTCCTTAGACCCAAATTTTGAAGACATTTTATGTCCATTTAGTTTTGCAACCACAACAATCAAAGTCTGTCTGTAGTTAGCTCATTAACAGTGAAAAAATTCATAGAAAACACAATAGTATACATAATTCAGACTTTCTGTGTATTTCCCATGCTTACGTGTCCTATTATAATTTATTACTCTATTTCCTTTTT